ATCTCTTGCTTGCAAGGCAAGCGCTCTACCACTGAGCCACGGGCCCGCCAGGTGGTTGATGTAACAATAAAAGGAGAGATGATGTAATGACAGACTGGAGAAGTATCTTACCTCCATCCTCGATAATGATGTTTATTAGCTACTTCACATCTCCAGAATGTGTCTATTACATATTCAACACACACTTATATATGACAGAGAAACAAAGAGAGAGAGAGAGAGAAAAAGAGACGATGCAGAGACAACAATAGAGAGACGAAGAGGAAAGAAGAGCAGCGAGCCGTGACACATATATCGGCACACCCTCCCACTCAGATCAGCCGCGCTCCTGAGCGTCTTCACAATTTAGAAAAAACAGAAATGATAAAAAAATTAATTGGATGACAGAAAAATTACATCAAAACAAGTTCATCGCTTGAACTTAATCGAAGAAATCAAAGTAATATAGAAACGAAATTTTCGAGTTTCACACGTAATTTCATATCAATACACGCTTTCACAGTATTACAGCATCGAGTCAAGAACATAGCAATCAAATAAATACAGAAACAAGGGTGTGGGTGGGGTGTGTGGGGTGTGGGTGTGAGTGTGGGTGGGTGTGGGTGTGGGGGGGTGGGTGGGTGTGGGTGTGGGGTGTGGATGGGGGTGGGTGTGGGGGGTGGGTGTGGGTGGGTGTGGGTGTGGGTGGGTGTGGGTGTGACTGTTTGTTCTGATGTGATGGTAAATCAGAAGAACACCCACACCCAATACCATGTAGATGGAGATTAGATACATCTAATTGTTGGCTTGATGCATATGAAAATTATAATGCTGAAGCAGCTTATCATGTAGGTACTATTGTCTGTCTAGTATATACATTTTTCTTATAAATAGATCAATTATAATTAGTTAAAATAAACAATGATTTGAAAGAAATTTAATTATATTTTTTTTTGAAACATTCTGGTTGTATTGAGAACTATTCCATGATACCATTAAGTATAATAAAAGCAGTTCGATATTCAATAAAAAGAACGATAAATACATCATCTATTGACAATAAAAATGAAATATAGTTTGATCAAATTTTTATTGATATTGTATATCTTTGTTTTAACGTCGTTTTCTTTTTTTTCAGTAAGTAATTGATATTGGTCGCGCTGTCTTTCCATCAAATGGAAGTAGAGCTTATTATTCAAATCGAGTTGCTTCTGAACCAGCAGTAGTTTTTAGACGACTAAATAATGATCCTCCTCTACTTTATTCCGATCTATGTGTCGCTCGGTTTTATTCTCAATGTGATGCTTCCAGACAAGATCATATGACTTATTTTTGCTCATCATGTGGACAAGTATTCAATAAATTCTAAATATTTATTTTCTTTATTTCAAGTCGAATCATATTGATACAGTCGTCTGGATTTGAAAGTTATTTATGAATAAATTACGAAATAATTTTTGGGTAAATTTACTTGCTGTAATTGAATGTTAGTCACAAGTATCGACTAATAATTCTAGTTCAATCTACTCTCACCGATGATATGTGATCGTCATTAGCACTTTGTCATTATGGTGAACAATTCGATGAGTTAATATTCTTCATAGTACTATCCGTATAACATTACTAAATGAAAATTATTGATAGATTTATATTCATTCTTCTTTGTATATGGGAAATAAAAAAGAAAATGCATTGAAAGTGATGTAGAGATCGATAAAGATAATTGAAGTTTACCCTAATGAAAATATTCATCAAGCGAGTACGACTTTCCAGCGTGAGTACTCATATGACTCGCACGAGTACTCGAGGAATTTGATGTGTATGTATACTCTTCGTGTACTCTAATGAGTACTCGTACAAGTTTTTCTTTAGAGATTTACTCGTAGGCAGATATATCAGCACTCAGTGTAGTACTCATAGTCGTTTTTCGCAGACCGTTTAATAAAACACTTATGCACTAGTATATAGAAAAATAAATTGAAATTATATAGTAAAAGAAAATGATGCAGTAAAATGAAAGCCCGAGAAAAATTGTTTTATTGACTTATTTACCAGATCCTCTATTCATTTTGATGAGTCATCTATACGACTAAGATAAATGGTAATGTTCAGAAAGAGAAAAAACGATTTTTCGTTTTCATTTGTTAACTTAGGTGAGATTGAGTTTTTTTAAACGTATGAATGTAGATTTGCTTTAATTTTATTTCGTAAATTTAGATAAAAAATCTTCCGTTAAAATATAGTTTTTCAGACTGACTATCAAATGCTATGAAAAGGAAGACGACTAATCACTTTTATTATAAATCGATCGGAACTTTAAGGGGCTCCCCCCCCCCCCTCAGGAACCGTTTTTCATTATTCGTGGACCGATTTGTCTGAAATTTTTAGGCAGTATGGATGTTGTGTTAACTCAATTTATTGCAAAGTTTTGGCTCATAAAGTTTTTGCTTTAAAGAGTTATTGACAAATTAGTCCCCAAAATGGTGGTTCTCGTAAGGTACCGATTTCTCGAACTGCCAAAGACGTAGAGAGCTACTTTTTTTTTTAAATAAAAGAAGAAACCTATGTCTAGAAATGTACATACCGGTTTTTCGAAATTCGATTTTGTTCGGATTTCCGAGACATTCTACTGCAAGAACTCTGAATTTAGCGCTTTTTGACAACAGTGTTATCCAGTTATCTCGGCAAAGAAATCGAATTTCGAAAAAACGGTATGTACATTTCTAGACATAGGTTTCTTCTTTTATTTAAAAAAAAAAGTAGCTCGCTAGCTCTTCTACAGTCTGAGAAATCGGTTCCGAACTCTCCAAAAAAGTGATTTTGAGAAAACGAATAAACAAGTTTGTGAGATGTATAAATGGATGTGAATGTAACAAAAGTAGTTAGTGTTATATATATTTGAAATCAGCGTAAAATTCTCTTTTTAACATTGCATAATTAAATAAAATATTAAACAATTTTTTTATTTCATTTTATTTCACTATGACTGTCATGACCCCTATACTGCAATTTCGTCATGTATAAAGGACTCTAAGCAGAAACGACTACGCTTATGAAAGACATGGCGGTGAGAATGTATATGATAGTGCTCACACTATAGTAGTTCATTTTGATCAAGTTTCGTAAAAAACAAGGTTTTCGATCGTATAATTGCAATAATCATGTGTTGAACTTCAAGTTTGAATATTTTCTGTCTGTTGCGTTAATATTTTCTCGATTTTAATTTTTAAACTATCTGCATCGTGTTGAACCGAAGAAAAGGTTTTCCGGTAACCACACAATTGAACAGCTCAAACAATTTGTTATCTCGAACTCTACTTGGAATAACAATTTCTTGTCAGAAATAACAAGATAATTTTATTTTACTGCCTTTCATTCTTTCTAGATGAATCTAAATAACTTTACTATAGCATATAATTTTTTGAAAACAATGTTTCAAAAAAGAAACGTTCTTTTCCCGTCCGATCTCACTGCTATTTTTGATATTCCTTCGTCTGTATCTCAAATCTCTTTACAAGCGCAACTCGTAAACAATGATGACGACGGCGACGACGACGAAATGTATTCTTTGGACAACGACAATAACGATACTACTGATACACACAGCGACGTTAGTTTAGAATACAAATATGATCCTCCTGCTTCACTACCAACAGCCACATTGCAACAACAACAACAACAACTAAATGCACTGGAAAGTGCCGAGGACGTCGAAAACCGACACGATTTGTACCACGAATTATATGTTCTGGTTCTTCGTAAACGGCAGCAAAAAAAATTAACTTCGAAAAATTATGAGACATATGAGTGGCCAGCATTGATAAAACAAATCATAAGATGTAGATATCCATCAGATATCAAAAACTATGATTGTTATAAAAAGCCAGATGTTGTTTTTACCGTAGAAACGTTTATTGATTTATTTGCTCAATAAACAATGGAATGCTGTCTTTTCTTGCTCTTGCTATCACAGAAAGTATCTTCTAACTGTGTTCAGCAGATACGCAATCGAAAATAACCTACAAATATTTGAAATGAACAAAAATGAATGTAAACTAACATTGAAAATCGCTCAAAACCTCTTTTTTTCTAGAAAAGGGTTCCAAAGATCTGGTTTTTAAAACCCGCCATATGTCTCTAACTAATTAATATAACAGAACATATATGTGTTTCTCATTAGCAACCGTCCCCAAGCTTATTGATCACTGTCACATCCCCGTAACTAAGGAAAATTTCTAAAAAAACCATATATTTCTACTACTGCTTCCAGAAAACCGCTATTTTCACCGCCAAAAACCATTCAAAATGCGACAAATCGCACATAATCTGAAAGAGGACACTTTGGGCTCTCAGTATATGTGCTTATCTCAAAATCGATTTTTGTGAAAAAAATCGATTTTCTGAGGGGGGGAGCCCCTTAAAACAAGAAGATGCATGAATACACTACCGACAAACAATTTTATTCGGTATTTATTTTTTTGTAGATTCCTACATAAATTTAGATAGTTACGAATGTGAAAATATCTGTTTAAGTTTTTTGTATAACAGGCAATACTGTACGTTTATTTACTATCACATTTCTCATTATCAGTGTTTAATTTATTTTTTTTCTCGTTCACTGTATTTTACTGTCCTTAATTCGTGTTTTATTGTACTCGGTATTCAAGATATAGCTAAAGAAATTTTCATTATTAGAGAAAATAATTAACTATTTTCTTTTTTTTTTACATAATGAAATACGATTTTATTTATCTTTTGAAAGAGGAAAGAAAAGAATCAATGAAATCGTATTTTTATTGTAGAAAAACAAAGAAAAAATTTAACTTTCTTCACTAATGATGAAGATTGCTATGGTCATATTCTTTACGCTAAAATATATGAAGCTCATATCAAAGTTGTAGTTCTCATGCGACCATTTTACTCAAATTTTCATTGTGTATGATTGTGGTTTTTGTAATATTCTAATGTTAAATAAAGATTGATGTAGTACAACGGTACTAACCAAAAGATATGCTTATGAGTATTTTATATAGACCAGCAGAGTACACAGAAACTAGATAGAAGTACTCACAAAACACTTAATACTACACAGCGAGTACTCGATCGTCGTACTCAGATACTCAGATGCTAGTATGAGTACGGCTGTTGAGTACTCAAAACCTATGAGTATTCGTCTATGGGTACCTTCACTAGGGTTGTCAAAGTATTCTTATCTTGTTTTGACAGAGGACGTTACTTGTCTACATAAGTAGTTAAACCATTCGAAGAAGAGCTGTTTCTAGAGGTAATTCCAAAAAAACATGCATTTTTAAAATGAAAAATTATTGATGGTTGATTCCTGATATGAGAGATGAAAGAAATAGCAATAGCGTATCTCACTCATTCACTTAGATCAAGTCACTCTTATCGTTCAGTTACTACTAAATATGACTCATTGAAGAAAAACTTCGTTTTACCATATTTATGTAACAAACAAAATACAAGAAGGCGAGGAAATAAGTGTGGGTGTGGGTTAAGAGATGACTCCAACACTCACACCCACACACCCACATCGTCAAACAATTCATTTGTCGAGTGGTTTACAAGTAAACTGTATATGCAATGTAATTAGAAACGTGTTTCAGCTTCTTTAACTGGCGCTGATGGTGTTATGTTCGTATTATTATCGGCCATTGGATTTCGTATTGATAATCCTGTACTAGATTGTCGAGTTGATATATTCTTTAATTCATGTCTTTTTCCTTGAAAATCTTTGACAACATATTTTTTAGTTTCTTGTCTTAACCATAATTTATTTGTATGACGTTTTATTATTTTACTTAATAGAATTCCACCTAGGATAATTCCAATAGCTAATCCAATAACTGCTAATATTATTATAATAATTAAAATTATTGATCCACCACCACTACCACTGTCATTACAATTACTGTTTCCATTACAATTATGACAACCCGCACCAAAAAAATAACATTGATAGCAACCACAATAACATGGATCATTACGCGCTACCCATCCACAACAAAGACCAATTAAACCAAATAAACCTAAGATAGCAAAAAAAATTATTAAACTACTCAAATAATAAATCCCGAATGAGCTCATCGAAGTTGGATAAATATCTTTTATAACATGATTTTTTTTATCCGCCCATTGTAATAAAAATGTTAGTCCAATGATGATAGCTTGAAATAATAAAAGAATCAATGTTACATCACGTGTAACTAATAAACGAAATATTAATAATCGTCTTTTATCAGCGACTGGATCATCGATTATCGGTTCAATGACATATTCAAACTGACAAACTTCACAATATTTAAAAGCTCTACCCATTTTATTCACTGCTCGCCATTCATCTAAACATTTTCTATGAATATATGCTGATCCACCATCACATAAACACGGACTAATAAAATCTTTTGGATTATTAGTATCGAAACATATTCTACATGTTCGTGAAATATTGTCTGTCAATATTAGTGATGATCCTTCCATTGAAGTCTTGAATTAAAATTATCTAGAATATAAAGAAACACATATATGTGAGAGAATTTTCGACAATTACAATCTCATTAAAATAGGTCTGAAGAATAATCTAACATTATTTTCTATTCAATTTGGATAGCCTTATACGCGCATATATGTAATTTGATCAATTAAAAAGAAATAAATAAAACAAATCTGCCATAGTCGTACTGTCAATTTACTAATTAGCGAAAATATTTTACAATAGAAGAGATTCAGAAGTTGACTCATCAACGAGCAAAATAATCAAAGATTCGCTTCATTTATTTTTAATAGAACAAAATTATTTGAGAATTTTTAGTGAAAAAAAAAATATTTTTGATAATCGACTGTTTAAATCAAGCACTCAACGCATCAGATGATAGTACTTGAATTTTTTAAAGTTCGGTCGAAACGGATATAATATTTTCACTCATGTTGTGAACAACGACTCGCTTATCTATCTTTCAAAATGTGACGAAAAAATCTCTGTTTTTCAGAATCTTTATTTTATATGAAACTTATTGAATGAATTTTGAGCAAACTAAATTCACTGAGAAAACATTGATCAATTAATAAAAAGACCCATGGACCAAAGTCCTTTCTTCTCTTGTTTTTTCTTCTATCGTAATCTGTATCAAATTTATTACTGAGTAAAGAAATGACATAAGAGATTTATCGCGCTATGATATTTCGATCATACTAACATAAAAAACTCTCATACTATTTTATTCATCGGCAATAAATTTGATGCAATCTACAACAAAAGAAAAAACAGAGAGCAAAATACTTTTGTCCACAGGTGTATGATGTACCTTCTAGCACAGCTCGACCATTGTCATTGATTCATCAATGAAGAACATGTTGTGAATTTCGTGCATTATTATATTTAGTGATGATTTTGGACCTTTGGTCTTCTGACGTGTGTAGAAGACAGATAAGAACATGCTCGATATCATCGAGTGCGCATCTTGTTGATAAGAATTAGTCAAGAGCAAACAATGCTCGTCACATGATAAGAAGAATTCAACATCATAAACTTTTTCTTTCATTGACAAGATTCTCATGACGTCCTACTATGTTTTTTATTTGTTGAATTCAAACATATATAACTTATTCTTCTAATGTGTAACCAGATTTTGTATCAATATTTAATGAGAATAAACAAGGTAAACAAGTATAATGAGTAAGAAGTAGGCGAAGTATATGTAGTTCAATTCCAAAAAGAACCAGTGATTCGAGATGATCACATGATGAATCAATGATAAATAATGTCAGAATCAGAAACATATCTTCCATTGTCCATAAATTAATTGAATAGATTTGATGTCGGTTGTGACTTAGAATTTGTTCATAATTATTCCTAAACATTTCTTCTGATGTCGAATGATTAAATTTGATTTTTAAATAAAAGTGATGAAGAAAATAGTACTCACAGCACAGAAGAATCTGCCCTTACGATCATCGAGCTGAACGACGTTACCGTCGGCGATACAATACTGTTTCGCACTGACAATGCCCAGAATAATGGAGAGAGAGTCGATACTCGTATCAATTGCAGTGGTACTTACTTTTACACGCCCTCTTGACAACCTGAGTATTTATCTATCGCTAGCAATCGCACTGTTCACAACGTCTATCTTGACAGCTTTGGTGGTGTTGTGCCTTAATCCAGCAGTATGAACTAGCATTAGCCATTTGTCTCAAAAAATATTGTTCCATCTTTTGATTGAATTTTAACTTTCATACGCACAGGTGACGAAAAGTTAGTTCATTTGAGAGCAACTATTCATCGAACTTTTCAAGTTTTAAATTACTTTCGTTCAAATTTTGCATTCTTTTCATTCGCGTTTTTAAGGGTATCACACGAACTGATTACACGAAAATAATCTTTTGAAAAATAACAAGAAGGTTTTCGATCACGTTCAGATGTGGGTGTGGGTATGAATCTTCTTTTGGCCACATCCATATCCACCCGAACAACAGATGTGACTGTTAAAAAGAAACACAATTTAACACACTCTTGTACAGTACAACCTGTTACATCAACTGATGACCATTTATGAGACAAATTCTTTCTCATCCTTCAAGAAAAAGAAAATAAATTCGGTAAAAGTTTGCAAAATGATTTAATTGTACCACCAAATGTTGTAGTAAGAACTTTAAAATCAAGAAAACGTAGCAATGAAAAACATTATATTTTTTTAAATGAAGTTCTACGTTCATTGGTTGGTAGAAAATTTCTTCTATTCCTTGATTCTTGGAAAACTCAAGCTGAGCTAACAAAATTTAGAGCAGTATTTCCTAATCAAGACAGCTGACTATTGAGTTTTCCTAGAGGATCACTGGTTATATTCAACCACAAGATCTATCCTTGTTTCGTTCATGGCAATTTATTCAGGAAAAAATCGAACATAAAGGACTCTAAGTGATCACCAATATTTCAGCAACATACATTCTGTGATTCACATTGAATTATCTGTTCCACAATTTAAAAATCTCATTAAGAACGGATTTATACAAGCTCGAATAACAAATGGAACAATTGGTCAGATTGAAAAACCAAAAGATGTTTGCTTCAAATTCTATGATCTATATTCTTCAATTAACAATTGCAATGAACGAACACTATTAATGTGTGGGTGGGTGTGGGGTGTGGGTGGGTGTAATATCTTAAGACGCAGTACACGCACACCCACACCCTCGCAACCGGCAAAAACAGCATTTTTTGTCTAGTTTCGCTTAGTTTTCTTTAAGACCAATCTGCCTTTTGACCAGAAAGAATGATATATTTGAAATCAGCACAAAAAAGTGAGTCGATTTATATGCTTTTCAAAGACGTCCAACGACTTTCATTTTTTCTCAAAAATTTCGCCCTAGTCCCCCTCATGGATGTGGCCAAAAATGAAACTACTTAGAAATGTGATTTTACTAATTGATTAGTTGTTATATTGAATATATTTTGCGTTTTGAATATTGAAAGTTTGTTCTTTACACTGAAAGTGACGTTGCGATGAATTTCATTTCTGGCCACATCCCTGAGGGGGACTAGGGCGAAATTGTTGAGAAAAAATGAAAGTCGTCGGACGTCTTTGAAACGCATATAGATCGACTCAGTTTTTTGTGCTGATTTCAAATATATCATTCTTTCTGGTGAAAAGGCAGATTGGTCTTAAAGAAAACTAAGCGAAACTAGACAAAAAATGCTGCTTTTACCGGTTGCGACTAATGCAGACTGTATAACTATAAGGGCCAGGCCAGAAACTACATGAATTATATATCAGTTTGTAGCTCTTTCTGCCCTCTATTGAATGGTATATAAGCCAGATTGGCTCGCACGGACAAAACAGTGAAAGAGACCTGATTAATGTTGGATAGCATGTAATACGGTCTTCTTCAATACACTCCTCATCCTCTGATAACCCTATTATAGTGCGTTGAAAAAAACAGTTCTTATATGGATCGATGCAGAATTGAATGCTCTTCCTGATGAAAATAGAATCAGCTTCCAACATTCCCGAAACCTTTTACGTTTTGATCAGATACTAAATGAGTACGACTATACCAAGAGCATACTAAGCAACCTCAATATTTCCACCTCAAAACGGCGTTCAATGTTGAAAGTTTTGCCTGGGTTTAGTATAAAAACCCTCATCTCACTTCTATAGAAAGAATTGCCTATGAACTCTAAACCGCCCATTTTCCATTGCTTATACGCCCTCGTCCTTTAACTAAAATAATTTCACATTGACAAAGAGTTTATCTTTTAATAATAAAATAGAATTCTTTAATAAAAAAAAAAGACTCCTGATTGAGAAAGTAGATGTGTTTATTTTCAAAGAAAAAAAAATACCTTTAAGTCTTGTTATGCCAAAATCAGCATGAAAAGAAGAAAAAATAAAAATTAATGCCCAACTATATATATTGGATCATCTGCACTTCATATAAATAGTATTGATGGTGCTCATATATCTGTAACTATTGAAGAACTCTCATTCGATAGATGCGTTAGCTGTTTGATTTTCCAGAAGAGAATGGTAGATGTGACATTGCATAGTTAGTGGAATATCGTTGGCAACAGTGATATACATAGCTGTGTCATGAAAATGTACTGTGAATAATGTTCGACAAAATTGACTTTTTCTAGGACCACAATTGTTCGTTTATGCATCAACAAAGATGCATAAATCTTTTGTCAAAATATTCGAACTATTGAGAATTGGAAGTAAAGTAATACGATTAATATTTGTTTATGACAAGTTTTCCATTAAAATTGACGACCTTTAAAAAGAAGACTCACAATAATCAAGAAAATGGCTTAATTCCAGTTTGTATTGTTGGAAATACAACTATGATCAATTTTATTATAAGAATGTAAATGTTTATTTAATAATTGATTTTTTTAAATGCA